GATAGAAATCAAGGCTATTGTTAGAAATCCTTTTGCTAGGGCCTCTGAGGGATCAAAAGATCAAAGCATTTAATCAAATACAGGGCTCTCTGAAGCAATATGGGTTATGAATCATGGATAACCCCAGCCTTCTCAGCAGAAGCAAGGAAGAGAGAAGATTTTCTGGGCAGGGTCTGTGAATGAGCCTTTTGTTTGAGGTCATGAATCCTTTTGACATACATGGGAGACTACAAGATTTTTTATTGCTAAATCATCAGAAACAATGTCATTTTTAACTGAAAGAATAGATAAGAGGATGAGATGGATGAAAGAAGGCTGTGGGACTCTCAAAATTTGAGAAGCAGAAAAACAGACTGATAAGACTACTTACCTGCAAAGATGTGGTCCATTAAAAATAAAGGAAAGATGATTCTGAGGGCAGAGCCTAGGGCCTAGAGGGCAAGAGCTGTGGACCCAGGTGAAGTCATGGGATCAGAGGGAGGATCCTCAAGCCACAAAAGATTATTCCCAGGCCTTGAAACCTATGGAAGAAATGTGATCCAAATTGCTCTACTTCCGCTTTTTGGAATGGAAATGTCTATAACTGTTATTGGCTGTAAATGAACCAAAAGCAAAGCAGAAACACAAAATTAGTGGAGAGGAAAACTGAAATGAGAATAAAAATGAGAAGAGATGTCTCTTAGTGCTTTGACTTCACTTAGGACAGCCAAGAAAAAACACATGTGGGCTTAAGCTAAGGACAAGGTACACTTCTTTCTCTCAACAATGTTTATTCACCTGGTTCTGACAGATGCATCCACTGAGCATCCCATTGTGAGTTCCAAAATGATCAAAAGATATTTTTCAAACAGTGTAAAATCAAGACACTTATACAGATATGAAATGAACATGTGTTAAAAGATTATTTTTAGTCATTCAGGGAATGGGAAGATGTTATAACTGGTTCAAAAGAGAACCCAAAGTTTAGATACAGGAATATTGACCAAGAATATTGAAATGGAGGCAAAAGTGTATTCATTACATCATGGGGGAGGGGACAATTTAATCCTTATGAGACAAGACATTTTATGTTTTTTAGTAACCTGCAACTAACAAAATACCATAAAAGACCTCAATGACAATGCAAGGCTAGAACCAGGTAATGTGGAATGTGTCCTCAAGATGGAAAAGTTTTCTATTGAAACATACTCTTATTTCTACAATGTTAAGCAGAAAATTATAGTTCCCTTAAAAATCAGGATCCAGTCATGAGAGTGACCAGTTCCTGTCATGGGCATTGCTAAGCTGAGGCCTGATTAGGACACAGTGGACACCAATGACGTCCCAATGTCTCAGATGTCACAAAGCAACTCCCTGACCAATCAGAGGCTGGAGCTTGGGGATATAGTGGGCAGGGCTGAGTGCCGGTGTTTTCAGAGGCCAGTCCAGCTGGAGCATCAAGCAGCGCTGACCAGAGCCAAACCCAGCCAACATCATCTTGGCAGAAAAGGCCATGAGAGCACCTCTCAGACTCAAGCCAAATCCTATGATAGTTGAGCCGCAGTTCCCCTTGAGCAACTTAGATCACCTTGTGCAGAAAGATGAGAATGTCCATTGTATGAGTTTATCGACAACAGATTTCCTTCTTGCTGTGCTTCACTACTTCACCATCTATATTGTGGAGCTGTTAGTGACTGAGGCCTACAACAGTATGCAAACCACCTCAGAAGATGTGGAGCTAGCAGAGAGCACCAGCGGAGTGCCCCACCACCAGATGAAGGATACAGCATTCAGTTTCTTCGAAGAGATGCCTAGATCCAGGAGAAATGGCTGTAGACTGGGTCCCAGACTCTGGTGGGAGTCCTCACAGGCTTAGCCAAGCATCGGCTCTTAGCTCAGGAACCCTGGCTTCTACCATCAACAAACCCTATTAAAGGGTAAAAATCTAATGACCGCTTCTGACTCCTCTGTGTCCACCGGTTGGGTTGGGGTTACCGTAGGACACCCAGGGCGAGGCAGCCCACAGAGTGGTGGGGGTGGAAGGTGTGCTGAGGGTGGTGCTGGGGTGGGGAGAGCCTTCCTCTCTGGCTCTGAGCAAGTCAAGGTCCCTGAAGCCAGGAGGTGGGCAGCCGGGTGGGGCTGTGGACTTCGGGAGGTGTGGTGGGAGCTGGGGTGGAGCCCACGATGGTAACTGAGGAGACCTCAGTGGAGAGCCGAAGGCCCTACTGTGGGCAGGGAGATGCAAAAATCAGGAGGCCATGGAGGCTGGGGTGGGCGCAGAGGGGCATAGCAGTTGGCATGAACTTAATGGACGGGCTTTGCATGAAGATTGTGGAGTAATGGGGGAACCATAAAGAAATATGTGTGAAAGGATTACAGTCAGGTTGATTACCCTTATTTATACCCTGCCCCATTGCAAAAAAGGACTTGAGACAGGGCTTATTAGCTGGTGCTACAATGCTCTCTGTGGAGTAGATAGTTCTGTCCTCTCGTGTGGCCACTGGTAAATTAAATAGCAATAATATACAAGAGCTGCCTGTCCTGAGACAGGCAATGTGATAAGTTCCTCATGGTTCTTATCAATGAATTGATTTATTTATGAATGTACTCCATCATAAACACATTCAGCATCTCATTCTCAGATGCAACACATGACCTGTCTATGGTCATACTCAGAGAGAGCCACAGAGAGTTGTAAGTTTTTCTGTTATCCTGTTCTTCCAAAGATTAAGTCAGTGTGTGCCTGTAAAGGGCTGCAGCCCACAGTGCCTGTCACCAGGTATGCTCTTAATAAACAACTGCCCACATCTCCCTCCCTATGGGCCAGAAGCGCAGGCACCTAACCAAGGACCTCCAGTCCTGATTCTGGTGCTTGGGCCACTGGCTGTGGAAACCACAGCCTGCTGAGCCCTGCGGAGGGACTAAAGAGTGCTAAGAGGGGGATGGGGGCAGCAGTACATCGGGGAATCAGCCAGTCCTCACCATGGCTTCCTGTCTGCTCCCCACTGCATGGTGACTCCCACTCTCTGCCTCCCCCCACCATCTATTAAAGCCTGGAGCGCGCTTAGCCTTTGCCTCCCTTACAGCTTTATTCAGCCATATACTTCCCTTATACAACTTCTCATTGTGGCAGAAATGAGCAAGTCCATTGTTAGACTAAAAAATATAACCTCTTTGTAGCATGTACAAATAAATAACAATATGTAAGCTAAAATTACACTTAGTTATCAGTGTTTCAATATTCTGTCTTAGAAATTATCTAGGCATCTGTTGAATGTCCATTAATTAACTCAGTATATTAGTCCAAGGTTATACATTATCTAAAAATCTTGACTATTCTCTTCAAGCTAATGTACTATGAAATTTTATTATGGTTGGAATGACAAATTTGTCAAAGCAATGATTCAATTTAGTTACTTATAAGTTTATATATTTCATAATTTTAAATATAAGATAGATGTCATATTAGTTGATGTGACCATAATAATTTATGGGTTTGGGAAAAATAAGTATATAAATTTACATTTGTATTATAGTTAATACTGATAAATAAGAGAAGACTTAGTTGTTTTCATTAAACCCAAACTATTAAGCTAGTCCTGTTTACCAAAGCCTTAAATAACTTAGGTGAACTTGGTTTCTTAAAATAGTTGAGTTGGTTTCTGAGAGAATGCATTTTGTCTAAATATAGCTCATGTAAAGCATCATAGGTCACTTTCCTTATTTTCAAGGATATTTAGGATTATTCAACAAAAGCAATTATTTATCTAGATTATGCCAATTAGAAGAAATCTCCATTAATTTAAAAGATTTTATAATATATTAATATCCAGAGGTATAATATATATATTATATTAATTTGATATATTAATATCAAACTCATACAATCAGAGGTGAAGGCATTTCTGAATTACAGGCAGAAAGAACTACACTTATAGCTTCAATTCTACAATTTCAGCCATGGGTCTAGTATAAACACAGAAACGGAGAAACTCACTAGTTCAGATATCAAAAAGCTGTTCTCCTCCCAAAGAGTATGAAATTCTTAAATGATTTGAATAGACAAATAGACAAGCAAAGACCTCTCTGTTGTCTCTCACCCAACAGAGACTAGATCTGTATGGGCCCATTTATAGAGATCTCCAAATGATCAGACTGTAAACCAAATTCTCTACCATTTCCGCCAACAATGGGAATAACATCACTATAAATGAACAAAAATAAAACAAAAAGTGAGTAGAAAAATTTTAAATGAAAATTAGAAAAAAAAATCAACAAAGTCCTTGTGGTGCCTATTTCACCTAGAAGTAGCAAGACAGGACACTCTTGGGCTTCCACTGGGTTTACTTGGCTCTGAGCCTATCAGAGTGAGCTCTGAAACAGTTAAAAGATATTTTCAAGCAAAGTAAAACCATGACACTCATACAGATATGAAATAGAAATGTGTTAAAAGGATCTGTGTAACTCATGAGGGATTGGCAGATCCTATAACCAGTTTGAAAGAGAACCCAAAGAACACACATTGAAATACTGATGAATATTTCAATATGTAAATGGCAGCAAAATTTGTTTGATTACTGTGAGAGGGGAGACGAATAGACCTTTACTGACAAGACATTCCGTGTTTCTATTGGTGACCTACAACTTACAAAGCGTTATGAAACAGCTAAAAGCAGGGCAAAGGCAGAATGATATAATGTGGGGTAGTGTCCTCTAAACAGGGCAACATGTCCTTTTAAATTTTTATTCTTCCTTTTATTTTGCTGGACTGTTAAAGTCAAGGAGAAAATTAGAGTGCCCTCAACATGAGGGTCTGATCAACAGAGAGACTAGGTTCCCATCACAGACATTTCCAGGCCAGTCCTCATAAGGGCCCAGGGGACACCACTGACATCACAAAGCCTGAGTTGTCATAAAGGTGGCACCTCCCTGACCAATGACGGGCTGGGGCACTGGGTTACAACAGGCAGCAGTCAGCACGGGCAGCCACAGAAGCCCAGGCCAAAGGGACAGTCAGTAAGCCCGATGGCGCGCTGCCCAGCAAACATGTCGGCAAAGGGAAGCCGCAGCTGCACCCAGCTGCGTAAGAAGCCTGGCCCCTTGTGCTCCTTGCGCAGAGCTGCAGTTCCCCGTGAGCCGCGTGGAGCACCTGCTGCGCGAGCGCCACGACGACACACACCTGTGCCCATCCGCGCTCGTGTTTCTGGCCGGCGTCCTCAAGTACTTGACGTTCAACATCCTGGAGCTGGCGGGCAAGGAGGGCTGCAGCAACCAGTGGATGTGCATCACCCCCCAGCAGCTGGAGCGGGTAGTGGACAGCAACGAGCACCTGCGCTGCCTCTTCGACAAGAACGCTTTCTCTGAGGTCGATAGCGTGCCCCAGCCCATGGAGATGTGATGCCTGGGCAAGACCTCAGGGACCGCCCACCCCAGTCATCGACCTGCCTCGCCAGGGGGTGCTCGTCTTCTGCCATCATCACATGCTATTAAAGCGAGTAAATCCAGTGCCCACTTCGGATTCCTCTATATCTGCTGCTTGGTTGGGTGACCGTGGGACACCCAGGGCGAGGCAGCCCACAGAGGGGTTGGGGTGGAAGGTGTGTTCTGGGTGGTGCTGGCCCCGCGCTTCGGGGTGGGGGTGGGGGCAGGTTCTGATGGTGACCGACCTGCAGGGAGAGGCCCCGGCGGGAGTAGTGGGCTGAGGCAGGGGGAGAGCTTTCCTCTCTGGCTCTGAGTGAGTCAAGGCCCCCACGGCCAGGAGGTGGGAGGCGGGGCGGGGCTGTGGACTTTCAGGAGGCCTGGTGGGAGCTGGGGTGGAGCCTGGCATCGTGACTGAGGAGACCTCAGTGGAGAGCAGAAAGCCCTACTGGGGCCTGGGATGTGTAAAAGTGAGGAGGCATTGGCAGTGGGGATGGGTGAGGAGGGGCATAGCAGTTGGCATGAACTTACCCGACGGGTTTGCATGAAGACTGTGGAGTAATCAGGGAACTGTAAAGAAGCACGTGTGAGAGGAATTACAGTCAGGTTGATTTCCTTTATTTAAACCCTGCCCCATTCCAAAGAAGGACTTTAGACAGGGTTTATTAGCTGGTGCTGCAATGCTCTCTGTGGAGCAGATTGTTCTGTCCTTTCCTGTGGACGCTGTTAAATAGCAATATTATGCAAGAGCTGCCTGTCCTGAGACAGGCAATGTGATAAGTTCCTCATGGTTCTTATCTGTGAATTGATTTATTTATTAATGTACTCCATCATAAACACATTCGGTAATTTCATTCTCAGATGCAAACAGCTGACCTGTCTATGGCAATATTCAGAGAGAACATGTAAAGTTTTTAGTGGCTGAGTACATGTTTGGAGAGTTGTAAGTATGAGCTATGTAAGGTCTGTCCCAAGTGGTGGACTCAAAAGTATGTACAATTCTTATGAACAATGGTATGTGCTGTTTTAAGTTAAAAATAATTGTCACGTCAAGTGTTTTAGCAGTCTCTCCCCTTACCTGTGACTGTCACTGTTTGATCTTTTCTCTTGTTCATCATATGTTGGAGGACCACCCTTTGCTGCCTCCTGGCCCATCACAGAGGCTGCTCAGTGGCTGCCCAGCCAGCTTCAGCAATGGGATCGGGGGCCTGGGTTGGCTATCCCGGTTCAGCCCTATCTGGCCCTGTGATCTTGGTTGTTCATCTCTTCCTTTTGAGCTGTGGTTTCCTCACGTGGGAAATGGGGATAAATGCGAGTTCCTCCACCTTCCGGTTTTCCTGAGGATTGAGGCGGCCCACAGTGCCTGGCACCGGGTATGCCCTTCATAAACAGCTGTGCACATCTCCCTCCCTATGGGCTGGGCTCAGGCACCTCCACAAGGGCCGCAGGTCCTGGTTCTTGTGCTTGGGCCACTGGCTGTGGAAACCACAGCCTGCTGAGCCCAGCGGAGAGACAAAAGAGTGCTACGCGGAGGAAGGGGCAGTGGTACACCCGCGAACCAGCTATGTCTCACCGTGACTTCCTGTCTGCTCCCCGCTGCGTGGTGACTCCCACCTTTTGCCTCCTCCCACCATCTATTAAAGCCTGAAGCTGGCTTAGTGTTTGCCTACTTCAAAGGAGTGTCCTGAGCATAATAGTGTTGGGTTGTGTTTGGAGCTCGTTGGAATATGTGCTTGTGTAAATACAGGAATCCTTTCTTGCCACGTAATGCCATTCAACCAGGTATTTGCAGAATCTTTATTGTCAGGATGTCTACTCTACAAATGTTTTTTCAGGTTTTTACTCTAATTTCGTGATACCATTAGAGTCATGTTAGGGGTGCTGAAGAAGCTGCCTCAGGCAGCAGCAGTCTGTTTAGCAGCTTCCTTTATGCCAGCATCCTCTGCTTCTATTTGGCCCTGTACTTCCTGGCAGAATAACAGGTCCCCAGGTTGTGATTAGGCCTTGGCTAACAAGTGAGCTGCTCCAGCTGCTTGGTGGTTTTTAGACAGTCATGAAGCCCTTTTAGGCTTAGCTAAGTTTGACCTACTCTTCTCTTCATTGGAGGTGACATGCAGGTCTCTCCTCAGCAACTGCAGGTGGCAAGCTCTTGTAATAGTAGTTTACTTGGGAGCACATCATCTTTGATGGAAATAAAAGGAGGTTGGATTAAATTATTCTAGATGTCTGCTGTAGGTTTACAATTACCAGTCTATGATCTTTCCTCGGACGATTCTTTGCTGAAAGTAGTAAGTGTCTCACAGGGGATAGGGATTTTTTTTTTAGGGTCTCCATTTTATATCTGAGGCCACTGAGGTCCAGAGATAGTAATCAGCTCTCCCAAATTCACAGCAGGGAAGAGCGCCTCGCTCTCCTACTTGTTGCTGAGGCTCTGAGAAATGGGCCTTGAGGTAGAAAATGTTTCAAGTTCTCCTCTGGGAAAGAGAAGGTAAACTCTTCCATACATATCTTAGAGCCTCTTGGATCTTGGGGAGCACAATCAACCACTCACCCTCAAGAACTTTCACTTGTGTTTTCTTTGGGAAATCCTGGTTGGCTCTGATAAAAGGGTTTATTTCACAGTACAGGTCTTTGCACTTTGCCAACCTAGGTCTTGTTCCACTGTGTACTATGTTAAACTGTCATGAAACCTTCTCAGTTGACTTGTTCTTGAAGTTCCGACTCTGTCCACTGACCTGGTTTTAAAGGTGATTATGTGATGACACCGGAAGCCTGTGCTTCAGAGCCTATTCTCTGCAGTACTGTCCTTCTCCTGAGGGTTCTCAGGCAGTCCTTTGTTAAACTCAAGATCTCCTGTAGCTGATTGTAGACAGCTCTACCTGTCTTGTGGGAACCAGCAGAGTTAACCCAAAAACTGTTTGGAGGAGATACTTAAAATGACTGTGGTTAATTTATTACTGGTAATTTTCACAAGTGAAAATTCCCATGGGAGGGCATAATAAAAACAATGCAAATGAAGGTAAAATTACTTCTTTTCTGTGGTATGTAAGAGAAGTTATATACCACAATTAAAAAAATGACATATGGACAAAAGGTCTATTAACATATTGATTAAGACTGTTTTAGAAAATGTCTGGAGTGGGACCTGAGTATCTGTATTTTAATAAAAGTCTAGTGATGTTTGGTAAAGTGCCCCCAGTTTGAAAGAACTGGCCTAGAAGATATTAGATGCAAATTGAAATGGTAAGATTACAATCAAACACTTACAATAGCAAGTGAATTTATACCTGATAATGCTATAGTATTGTTGCCTAGTATCAGGAAAAGTACCACCAGGACTCTGGTAAATAGAAACAGAATGGACAGTGAGGGTGCTGACAAATCTCTAGGAACTTCCTATATATGATACCAGTCCTAAAATATTTATGTTAGTAGTATTTTCCCTATTGAAATTTAACCCGTGGAAGGTTGATTACCTCTTTCGATAATTTTTTTCCATGGAACTCATAAAAAGTAGTATGGAAATCTCATAAATCTACCACTTCTGTCAGAATCTTTGTGGCTTCCAAGCTCTTCTGAGAAATCTCAAAGAGAACTTTACATGCAAAATGTATTTTGAAATGTTATTTTATTTCATTTTTCATTTAGGATTCACTTGGAGTAGGCAAAAAATAAGATTGCCAGGACATTTGAGCACCTACAATAGGATTATAGAAGCTTGAGAACAGGAATAGTTGTAGCTTGACTACTTATCACTCAAAGTGGCAATATAACAGATGTGACTTTTACTGTTTTATTTTTAAGAGAATAATCAGGGTCATGATAAAACCATAACAAAGTACAGCAAGTTACTCTGTTCAGAGTAATGTAATGCAGATTACAAAGGTATCCCAGAGAAACTAATTTGGAACTTCTGACCTCCAGGACTATAAGTAAATAAATACAAGTTTTAAAAAAAAATCAACAAGGTCATGGTAATCTGCAGACCCACTTAAAGGAAAGTAATATAGCTGAGGAGTGACCTTTTATAATCTCTTAGTAAGAGCAGACCCTTAATCTAACAAAACATGGCCTTTTTTGCTGAGAGCAAATCAAATTCTCAGATTGAGTTCAGTATTCACTATAATATTTGATACTGAAGTGACCACAATCCCTTTTGGAATACTTATGAATAAACTCATGAAAACTGGGTCAGGGTTGGAAAAATTTAATTGGGTTCCTTTTCCAATTTTATTTCCATAAATCTTCTACAGCTTTCTGTACATGCTTAGTTTTTTATTTCAGCACTCCTTTTCCTATTCTGGAAAAAAAGCCATTTTAATGTAGAACAGAAACATTTCCTTTTTTCCTTACTCTTGAGACCCCTGGTAGAGTCTGGCTCACATATATTAATAATAATCTTAAGCAAAGTCCCTTCTATTTCACAGGGAAGACTAGGGTCTATAACTGTGTACTGTTTGAATTTATCAAATTAGCTCGTACACACATCAGCTTTACTCAGCCACATGCATTCCTTATCCAACTTCTCAATGTGGCAGAAATAAGCATGTTCATTGATAGACCTAAAGAGGTAGCTAGCCTCTGAATAGCGTGTTCAAATAAGGAACAGAAATATATAACCTAAAATTACGCTTAGTAATCCATGTTTCAGAGTTGAATCCTACTTATAAATGATCAGGCTCCCCATTATTTAACTCAATGTATTATTATCCAAGATTTTCAATTGTCTGAAGATTTTAGAAGTACTCTCAAGATGACATACTATAAAACCTTATTACTCTTGGAAATTCAAGTTCATCAGAAGAATAATTCAATTTGGTTAAACAAATTTATGTTTTTCAAGCCCTAAAGTTTTAATGGAAGTAATTCTAGCTTTAAAACTGCATAAGTTTAGGGAAAATATGCCCAAGTAGCATAAATATGTATGCTTGTATTATACTTAATACTGATAAATAAGAGAGGACGAAGTTGTTTTCACAAAACCCAAACTATTGAACCAGACTCATGTGCCAAAGATATACCTAAATTATATGCATTTGAGTTCTTAAAATGATGTGAGTCAATTTCTGGGAGAATATACATTGTTTAAATCTAGCTCATTTTAAATATCATAGTTCAGTTTCTTTATTTTCAGGAAATTTTAAGAATATTCCACTTA